CATGGAGAGCATACTCTCTCCCTTCAACACAAGAGTCCAGTTCCTCAACCCTCACACTTGGCGCTCAGCGCCCAGCCTACTCCTACACAGCTACTACAGACTACAAAAAGACAATGCAACTGTTGACATCAGCAGCAGTCCGAAGTACTTGAAGATGCCGCCCATGCAGACCATCACCAATACAAGGTACGTGCCCTCACATCATCATCATCATCATCATCCTTCACCTATCCCCTGACTTCACCCACACCTGTCCTCTCTTTCACCCGAAGACCACCCCTGCGCCTCACTGTAGTCCAAGCCCATCAGCTATGGTGGCTGGGCTATGGCGCTGCCCTCAGAAGCGCCCTCCTCCTCTGCACGACCGCACGTGCTGCACCTCGCCTCCCAGCGCTAGCAGCAGCCTACGAGCATAAGCTCCAGCAGCGCTGCCGCCCAGCATGCGAGTGCCTGAATGAGGCAGCCAGGGCCGAGCTCTTTCCTTTATGGAAAGAGTTGGCCTGCTCACGCAGCCTGGCTGCCTTGGCCTGGGCCCAGAAGCTTCCGGAAGGCCCCAGGAGGCTACCTGGATGCAGCAGCTACTGGGCCGCTGGGCCTCGTTCGGTTGGGCGCCCAACTGTCTCTGTATGAGGCTGCGAATCACGGCCATGGCCTGCATTCTTTGGAAAGGCCCGGTAGGCCGTGGAAATGTCTTTGTTGCTCGGCCAGTGTTTCTTTCAATCAACTGGCGCGTCGCAACTGCCTGAACCCCAAATATGAAATTGACAGTCGAAGGCCGTTTGCAAAAAGCCAGGCCCGCCTTCACTTAGGGCGGGCACCTCCGCCTTCACTTAGGGCGGGTAAGGCTGCAGACAGGGCCCCATAGGCCTACCGAGGACCCTGATCCTCGCAAAAACAGAACCTCCCGGTTCTGGCTCTGTTCCATTCTGGGGAGCATCAGTCCGGTTCCTATTCCACCAGCAAGTCAAAAGGAGTTACAACAGTTACTCACACACGCTCCTCCCCACTATGGTTGAGAGGCCCGAGTGGACAGCATTGATTACTTCCATTTGGAAGGATGTACCACCCCTCACCCCTGCCTAAGTTAGCCTATCTGTCTTTGAGTTGGGTCCTACTTTGTCTGCCAGGGCTTCTATGAACAGATGCCTATCCCTTGTAGCCTAGTCCAACTTGTTCTTCGCAGCTCTGTAACTGTCATCTTTGGCTTTGCGTACTGGAGTTATTTGGTAGGCCTAATGTTGTCTAACTTTCTAAGACCCTAAAGCCTAAGACTCTTGGCTCCATCGTTGCTATGAAAAAAGGTTCTATTCTGTCTCTGTTCTTCTGCTGAGGGCTAGCACCCAATTACTTCGCTTACCATGTCTCCTTTTGTCCCTGCTTTCTGTCTCATGCTAGCCGAAATGGCCTCTTTTATCCGTGTGTTTTAGTGTTGCAATCAGTGGCTATGGATGTGTTTTCTGAGGGGCAGAAGTTAGGGGTTATGGGAAGAAAGGAATATAGGTCTAGGGGCTGATTGTCTAGTGTAGGGGAGGAGGTGTTCGATGTGGGTTAGTGGGGTTTGTGAGAAGTGAGATTGGTGATGGTGTTTTGTGAGGGCTTTCAAAGGGGGGGTAGATGGTGGCGTGAGGGAGGCGAATGGGTTAGGTGTTCCGTTGGTTGGAGTGTTAGTTTTGAGTTGGGGTTTGGAGGGTAGTGGCTTCACGCTGTGGGCTATGATGCTTATTGGATTGTTATAAGCAATGGTATTGTATGCGAGATGTAGTGTTGGCTAGATTTTGGCTCTTAGTCCAGTTATCTAGAGTGTATCGTTTAGGGGGGGGTATGACTTCTATGGGTTTACCTGATTTAGGGATTTCTGTGACTCAGATGTTCTCTTCGGTCCTGACTTGTGGTCCAATGGGGTTTGTTGGCGTTGTGTTGGTTAGGGGGTCTGCGCTGGCGTTGTGTGGTCTATGGGAGTGCAGGGGTGGTATTATTAGCCAATTTTTCATGACCAGTCTGTTTTCTTTCATTGTGCCTAGGTTACCTCTTCCTAGTTTGAATGTCCTGAATCTTTGGATTATATCTGTTTTCTTATCTGGGTTACTATCAATTGGGGTCGTATTTTTCTTTGACAGGGCATGCAATTCCGTTTCTACGAGTTGCTTAATGGTAATGAGGGGGTTGTCAGGAATGGTGTGATTATCCTCGAAAGTTTGTTCGCATCTCCTCTTCCATATGGCCCATATAGTAGCCTTTCTTATTTGTGAAAAGAGGATTAAGTCAAAGCCTTGGAGTTGGGGGGGGGGGGTTGTTCTATGTCTAGGAATACAGTGCCAGGGTTTATTTTTACCACTTCGTTGGACAGCTTGTTCCAGGTGTTCTCCATCTCATACCAGAGGTTTCGGGCTTTCTCACATTCTACGAAGCAATGGTTGAGTGTTTCTTTAGCCTCCGAATTGCAAACTTTGTTATGAGCCATAGTAAGCTTGCCAATTTCACCGGTTTTGCGCTGAAGATTGATGACCAGGACGGGTTAAAGGTAGATGCTGGGAGTGAGATTTCTTCTTTTTGCCATCTTTTTTGGATGATTGTATTGGATGAGATGGGTGTAGAAAATAGTTTATAGC